GGGCATGTGCCCTGACCGGGAATCGAACTGGCGACCTCGAACTGGTGCATGGGTCGATGCTCAACCACTGAGCCACACAGGCTGGGCAATTTCCTTTCTACTTCTAACCCTGCCTGAAGCCAGTAGGCAGCTGGTCCTATTAGAAATCTCGTTCACACTTGAGAAGGCTGAAAATTGGTGTGACTCAGTGGGTGTCTGCCCTTCAGTGGAGAAGAGGGGCCTGGATGAGCAGGAGGAGAGCAGGAGAGAAGGATGTCCCTCCCAGGCAGCCCTCGGTATCCAGGGCTGCTGTGGAACATCTGGAAAGGGAATTGGGATGCAATCCTCATTTGAGAGATGGATAAGAGAACCCCTGTTGATATGTACCAGGGTATAAAACAGGGAGCTGGGCACTTCCTGGAGGGGCCAAGTTGGGGGGAGAGGGAGTCTTGGGCTTTGAAGTCAGACACACTCTAGTTCCAGGCCTGGCTTTACCACTTACTGGCTGTGTGACTTTGAGCCAGTCACAGAACATCTCTGAGCATCAGATTCCTTATTTGTAAATGGAATCCATCACATCTATGATGCTCGTTGTTATGGTAATTAAGAGAAGAGTCATGATACAGAATGGCATATGTAAATATCTAATAGCAGTCTGCCTGCTCTTTCATGATTTTTCTCTCCCCCAACCCTAGGAACACACACAACCCCTCCATGAAGTAGTAATGAATGAAAACCACCATCTCTCTACTAGCCTCCCTTATCTTGGCGCAGTTATATCCCATTTGAAAGTTTATCCTTTCCCTACCCACATCCGCATCTTGTCCATTTCACAAGACTCAATGTATGTTGAAAGAATGAATGTAGGTCAAGTCCCCCCCACCCTTTCTCCTTAATTTTAAAAATGCAGAAATCAAGGCTTAGAGAGGTTGTGTTGCTTAGCTCTGGGTCACTCATCAAAGTAGACAGTCTCAGAACACAAAAGGGTTAGTAAGCCAGGGGTCAGGGCATCTAGGAACACCTTACCCTAACTGCAGGCACCAGGTTTATACAGCCAGCAGTAATGTTCCCACGCTTGCATCGGCTTCCCTGGATGAGCAGGGAAGCAGCACCCTCTAGTGGACCCTCCAGGTAACGGAGCTTTAGTGGTGATTCCTGACCTTGGCAAGCAAACTGGGTCACCTAGTGAGCTTTAACAATCTATGTTCAGACCCCGCCCCAGACAGTTAAATCGGAATCTTGGGGTGTGACTCAAGGAAGCGTCAGCATTTTTTTTTAAAGCTCCTCAGGCTATTCCAACGTTCACCCGAGACGGAACCACAGATTTAAGGATTAATTTTACGTGTCAAGAAACTAGAATGGAACAAGCATTGGTAGAAAATAAAATTCCCCCGAATCAAATCTCTCCCATTTTCCCATTAAACTATCAGTCATGTGAGACCTAGCCTGGGTCTAAGAGCCCTGGACATTCTCAGAAGTTGTGGGAAAGTGTCAAGGTACCGTAAGTGTCTTGGGGACAGGCTGTATCCAGGTAGGTCCAAAGTTACTGTTGGATCAAGGGTGCAGATACAGAGAGGAAATCTACTTGAATAAAATTAATGAATTATTTGCATCTAGCTCCCAGAGGTTTTTTTGCCAGCTCCACATTCTCTCAACAAGGAATCTTAAACTTGAGCATGAATCAGGAAGCTGTCCATCAGCTCGGTCGGATTTCTGGGCCCCACCCCCTGAATTTCTGAGCCAGTGAGTCCAACTGATTCTCAGGTGATGTCTAGGCTGCTGGTCTAGGACCACATCTAGAGAACCACTGCTTTAAAAAATGACCAGATCAACACCCCCTCCACATCTACACCTGGTCCAGCAGCATCCCCAGTAGGTCCTCAAAACAGATACACAAGACAGGCCGAATGGCACTCTGACTGTGGCAATAATTATTTGTAGGCACAAAACAGATCAAGGCCTACATCTTGAATGCTTCTGGATTGATAAGGCGGGGGAGGAAAGGGTGGGGTTCATAGGGGCAGGGGTTGGATTATGAACTTTCTCCCACCGAGTCCCAGCTCAAAGGGGTTCTGTTATATGGAAACCCCAGTCTTTGTACAAGCAGGAGAAATTTTCACCTCAGGAATGAACGGGTGAGGTCCCTAAAGGTGGGGTTGGGGATACTGCCATCCACAGTCATGATGCCAGTATTGGGTCATCCCTATTATATACCTGGGGACCTTTAATTTTATTTGATCATTTTTATCATAAGTCGAAGTAGCTACAAAGAATGTATTGTAAATAATGATATCTTTTATAGGAATGCAATGGAGTCTGAATACCACAGAAGTTTGATACCAACATTATCCATTTTAAAAGTGCATGGAGCCCTGGATGGTTTGGCTCAGCGGTTAGAGCATCAGCCTGCGGTCCAGAGAGACCCGGGTTCGGTTCCCGCTGAGGGCGTGTACCTCCGTTGTAGTTTGTCCCCAGCCCTGGTTGGTCGTGCGGGTGGCAGCCACTCGACGTGTCCCTTTCACGTCGATGTTTCTCTCTCTCTCTTCCTCTCTCTCCCTCCCACTCTACCTGAACAAAAAATGGAAAAATGTCCTCGGGTGAGGATAAAAAAAATAAATAAAAATAAAAGTGCATGGAAAAAGGAGAAACATCTGTAACAAACATAAATTAATTTAAAAAATTTTTAAGTGCATGGAAAGAATTTAAGGCATAAGGAGAAAACTTCATGACAAAGTAGGCTGTTTAGGAACATGGATGGACCCCAAACTGACAGCTGCAGAACAGGGGCCCCAGTCCTATAACTGTTAGCTGACAAAATGATTAAATCCTCCTTGGATCATAGTCTAAGCTAACAATCAGAAAATACCTGCCTTACAGAAGGCTTCTCAATAGTGACCCGTAGGTAGAATTGCCTTATTGTTTTTCCTCTCCGAGACTACTTTCATTTTCCAGGGTAATGCAGCAGGGCAAGGTTTAGAATGTCTGTGTGTGCAACTTCCCTTTGGAATGTGGGAGACAGCTGCATAAAAGGTGTGGACATAAAGGAGCCACATGCTAACCTGACAAGCTCAAGGAGGCCTGCGTGGCGGCCTTGCAAACTCAAAGACCTAAACCACAAAGGATGGTCTGAAATTAGAACTTTTTAACTAAAAGCAGTTTCTAGCAGGCAGTCATGTCCTCAGCCAGCATCTTCCCCGACAAAAGGTCAGTCTTTACCTTAGCTGAGCCTGTCTATTGTCTTTTTGCATCTATGATAACATATCTTTGGAATGTCAAAGTAATTTTCCTTTCTCCGGACCCCTCAAAGCACAAGCATCACTCTACGGAGACCACAGATCCCCTCATTGTTATCTAGTTAACTGTCGCCTGTTAATTATCCTATACCCACCTATGTAAAAGATGTATGTGTCTGTCATTTTACTTTTCATCCAATCCCAGAGGTCCCCCTGCCCCCCCCTTTGCTTTCTCCCACCTCCCTAATCTATCACCAGTGGATTTCCTGCGACTCATTTGCATCTTCTCTTTTGATTGTAATGTATAAAATAAAGTGCAAAACTGTCATTCTCTGGAGCATTATCTCACTCTGTTGAGATTTTGCTTTCCTGCAATGGTCGACAGCTTTGGCTCAAATAAACTCACAAAAATTCTTCGCAGGTCTGAATGTTTCTTACATTGACAAAGGGGAGAAGGAAGCTGAACTTCAAGGACTCCAGATTCTCAGCTCCATGGATACTGACTCCCTTGACCCAAAGCCACCTTCCAGAAAGTCTCCATGTGTGAAGACAGCTGCTCAACCTCCCTTCCCTGTCACCCTCTGTCCTATCAATGTTGCCTCCTAAGAAGCTCTGGACTCTGTCCTTAGCTCTTTGTCCCCTCTACCACTCTGGCCACCAGGATTTTATCTTGCCTGGATGTCATACAGCCCCCCCAACCCCCTTTTCTCCAGGCCTGATCCATTCCTCTCTCTAATGCAGCCAGAGTGAGTTTCCCCAAATGCAAACCCACACTTGAACCCGCTCTAGCTTAAACTCCTCCCAGCTCCCTAAAGCCTTTGAGTCTGAGCAGAAAGACTTACCTCTCTAGTGGCCTTATCCTTTGGCCTGCTTCCCTCACATCAATACATACTCTGGTCAGAAATAGTGCGTTCCTTGATACACGTACTCCTGGCCATCTGGGTACCTTTGTAATGACATTTCTGTTTGCAAAATGCAGCTAGGGGGAGTCGGGCTGCTTCCTTAACGGTCTTTGTTTGAACCCTAGCTGTTTCTCCTTCATTTATTTTTGTCAATTTCCTTAGCTGTACCACGGCAATAATAACAGTACGTATCTCATATCTTGCCTGGCACACAGTTAGTGCTCACAATAAATGTGAACTGTTTATTATTGTTCTCCTTATTATTCAAGTGGCATTGTATTCTCTATTAACCACGCTGTTATTGCTCCAGTTCTGTCTGAGCAACTAGTCAGGGATTGTGCCTATTCTGTGTATCCCAGTGCTCAGCCCATAGTAGGAACTTCTAATACTTATGAGTAAAGTATTGCAAAAAGATAAACATGCAAGGAAAACAATTGTGCTGAAAGAGCACACCCGACTTCTAAATTCTTTCTTTAGTGCTCCTCCAGTATATTATTTCACTGAATGCTCACGACAACCCAAGACGTAGAGGTATGAACTCTGTAAGCCATTCTGCCTTTGGTGGCACAGAGCTCATAGAAGCCCACGTCCCGACCCAAGGAGCGGGGTGCATTGGAGCGGGGGCGGTGGTACACGGATGGGTGCAAAACCCAGGCCAGAGGAGGCCATACTCAGCTTCGGTCTCTTTAAATTTCCCGCGGGCTCTGCCAGCTGGAGGTACAAACCACGCCCCTTTCGTAATCTCCGCCCCTTTCCCTGCCGCGCGCCAACCCGCAGAGAGCCAGGTTCTCCCAGAGAGCCAATCAGAAGAGGTCTTAGGCGGGTGCTGCCGTTCAGCCGACCAATAGGCGGGTAGCCGGAGTGGGGCTTGCCCGGGCATGTGGGAACCGCCGGCAGCCGGGACGCCACGTGCGGGCGGGAGGAGAAGCGCCCGGGCTTCAGGTGACCACTGGGACCCTTCCAGGGACAGCGGGGTCGAGCGGGCCGGGGTCGAGCGGGGTGTCCCCGCCGTGGGGCCCCGCGCGTGCGTCCACCCAGGTCTGCGGCGAGGGACACCCGGACCTGGCCGACCGGCTCTCCGGGTTCCCGGGCGTGTAGGCCGAGCCCGGGGCGCCGCCTGTGCCGCGTCCCCGCCCTGCTCGGGGGTCGCGGGCCTACGGGGACGGCGCTGGCGATGGGCGAAGGGACTCGGCCTGGCGTGGGCCGGACCGCCGCGGCCAGTGAGTGACCAACGCCCGAGTCCCTTCCGGGGTGCGGTCAGGCCTCCCACGCGTCACTCGGCCGCCGCAGGGGATCGGGCGGGGCCCCTGGTCCCGCGGACTTGGGACAACCCAGGGTCGCATCCCAGCAGGGCTCCTCCACTGCGGGCGATTCTCAGTCTCAGTGTCGCGCCCTGGGGGTGGGGTCGCGCGCTCTCCGCCACCCCGATCCCCAGGCCCTCCCTTCCCCCACTCGGCAGTTAGGACGGTGCGGGGGGTGGGTCTGGACCTCGGCGTTTTAAACCGACGTCGCATGACTGTGCCTGGTACCGACCTGCCCTGGGGTCGTCCCTAACGCTCGGTTTCGTAAACAAAGCCCGCTTTCCTGGTGGGGGGGGGGGGAGGGGGCGCGCCCTGGGCCGGTGCATGTCGCCCCTTAGTGGGGCGTGTAGAACGGCCCGCCGCCTCCCCGATGCCACTGGCGATTCTGACTTCGTGGGCACATGGCTCTGAGGAGTCCGCTGCAGGGGCCTGCTGGCCGCGGATCCCCAAAGCCCCGGGTCCGGCCGGAGAGAGAGACCCACATGAGCAACATTTCCCCCCAGCCTGGCTGAGCTCATCGGGGGGCCCCGGAGGGGGAAGGTGTGCCCCAGATAATTGTGGGTTTTGACACGTCAGCAAGGTCCGGCCTGGTCGAAGGGGGCTGTTTTCCCCTCTTACAACATATGGCCACGGAGACCTTTTCTCAGGGAGCCGGATTTCTGGCTCCTTTGAAACCGTGCCACACAGGGTCAGGGGGGACACCGACCCGGGTCGCGGCCTCGGCCCCTGCCCCTGCCCTGCAGGGCCCTCTGCTCACCCCTTGCCCACCGAGGTCGGTGATGAGCAGCCTGGTCGCCAGCTTCTTCGGCTGCGTTGTCCCCATTGCTGGGCCGAGGCTGATAGGTTCTGTGTTTATCGGCTCTAATATGTGTCTTGATGTAAGGAAGTTGGTTAGAGTTAAGAGCCATTTGAAAGAGGAAAAGGCTTTTTGGGGAAGGGGTGAGCAAGGAAGGAGAATGAGTCAGGATGGGTCACTGCCTTACCCTGGCCCAGGCATCACCAAATGGTACTATTCCTGCCTTTTTCCTCCCATTTCTCTTAACCTGTGCTGCTGCTGCTCGGACCCTTGTCTTCTCCAGACCTCTTCCTATAAGGCAGTGACCCTGAGTCTCTAGGGAGATTGATGGTTCCCAGTCAGTCTGTGGATTAAGCCCGAACTCTGACTACCGGCCAGCAGTTCTCTCTCTCTGTCTCGAGGTCCTTACTTTTCAATTGCTGCACCAAACTCCTTCCCCTCCCACAAGGATGTGCTTTGCCTCCTGGACTTGGTGTCAGCGTTTTCTCCGTCTGGATGCCCTTCCCTCCCTGGGCTCTTGGCAGACCTTCCCGAAACCCTTCAAAGTGTCCCCTCCACTGCCAGGCCTTCCCTAACCAGGTGTTTCTGCCTGTTCCGGTTCCTGACCAGGTGAGTCAGGTGCCTGTCCGTAGTCCATCGCTCCCATCCTGAGCGAGCCTCTACCTCTCCACCAGAGTAGGAGTTCCCTGTGTTCAGTCATTTCCAGCTCTGTAGGCCCCACAGTCTGGCTTTTGTCTCTTATTAATAGAGCAAGTGCTTAACCACTCCTCTATGCCCGTTTGCGTACCTGTAACAGGAGGATAATAATACATTGTTTGGTTGTTGGAAAGATTGATTCCATGGAAAATATTCAGAGCAGTGGTTTGCATGTGTTGTTGACTGTATGAGGGCAGTTATTCAAATAGGTCCCCGACTCAGTCCAGGAGCCTGAGACACAGTACAGGCCCTAGGGCAGTGGGCAGGAACACTGCAGGAGGGAGGGAGGGCTGGCCTGGCCCATCCTCACCCAACCCCTCTGCCCCGTGTGTTCGCTCTCCAGGGTGCTGCCCCATTGGAAGATCACCTTGCAGGCTTCCCTTGCCCTGAGTGGTGAGCAGATTGGTATGGTGCCTGGGGAAGCCCCTGAGCCTGCCCAGTGCCTGTGCCCTTTGTTGGCCAGCCCAAATGCCAAGGATGTGCTTCGGAGAAAGCATAAGCGGAAGAGCCGACAGCACCAGCGGTTCATGGCCCGGAAGGCCTTGCTGCAGGAGCAGGGGCTGCAGAGCACACCCCCCGAGCCAGCATCCTCCCCACCATCCATGCCATCAGGGGCACCGCCAGGCACTGAAGCTGCCAGCCATGGGAGGCAGGGTCCAAGGGCTGGATCTGGAGGTGCCCCATGCAGCAGAAAGCCCAGCCCCAGAGAATCCACTGTGCCAAGCAAGTGTGTGGCTATCGACTGCGAGATGGTGGGCACGGGACCCCGAGGGCGGGTGAGTGAGCTTGCCCGCTGCTCTGTGGTGAGTTACCATGGCGACGTCCTCTACGACAAGTACATCCAGCCCGAGATGCCCATCGTGGACTACCGCACTCGTTGGAGCGGCATCACTCGGAGGCACATGCACACGGCCATCCCCTTCCAGGTGGCCCAGAAAGAGGTGAGGGCGGGGGCCCTGTTTGGGTTGGTGTGATGGGCTGCGAAGAGCCCTGGGTTTGAGTCCCACTTAGCCACGGGAAGCGAGAGACGCTGGGAAAGTTACTTAACTTCTCCAAACAATGGATTCCTTCTCCATGGAAAGGGTGAGTAGTCCTGACCTTCCTGCGTACGAGGATTGCTGGGATGTCCTACGCCATCACGTTTTTCTTTTCTGTCATTAAATATTACATCTCTGTACAAAAGTTGTAAGGCCCACAGTGCTACCACCTTCCGGTGTTAATATTTCGGTATATGTTCTTAGGTTAGTTTTTCAGGACATCGAAAAAAATTAATTGGTGGCTGGGACCACACTGATGTGCCAGAAATCCTCAAACAAGCTTAAGTGTAAGAACACCTCAAGCCTTATTCATCGTGGGTCCTTGTCCCCAGATCCCTCTGTGCCCTGATTCCCTAGGTCTCCAGGCCTGCAGAGGCTCTGGCGTGTGCGCCTAAAAAATCGTACACTGTGTAAACCGGCACAATGAAAACCTCAGAGCTCATGGGGAAAATGGGGTTAGGGACACAGCACTCAACACGTCATAGTGACACCCCCAAAATAAAAAGATGGCGACCTAATAAACAATAGCACGGTTTTGCACGTGCTAAATGGTGCAGAAATGCATACGCGCACCCGTATCGATGGCACTTTACCTTGAAAAGACCTGAAGTTTCCTCGTAGAGGTGGATGTCGGGAGGGCAGCAGCTTGTGTTATGGTGAAGTGGCCTAAGAAGTCACCTGCAGTCAGATGGGAGATGGGGACACCAGGTGAGGGGGCTGTGGCTCCTCACACAGGTGAATGGAGGGGTGTGTATTTGTGCTTTCCCGTGTGGCTCGGTTCACCTGGATTGTTTTCTGCTTTCACTTCGTGTTTCTCAAGGGCGAAATCACACATTATTCTCAAATCATGTTCTAATGTATCAATCAAGTTGGGTCATTTTGCATCTTTAAAACAAGCATTATAGCAGAACTAATTAATGTTTCTGGGTTATTCTTGGGGTCAGATAAATTCGGGGAGTACTGGTATACAGCATCTTGTGTCCCCGTTTTTCACATCATATACAACCTAAGCATTTGTTTCAAAAGATTTGAAGCTCTTTAATCAGGCAGGCTGATTAGAACAGAAGCAACGAGAAGGGAGGTCTGTGGCGAACCCTCAGCTCCTTGGGCGTGACCTTGGCTTGCTTGGTGGCACCCCAAGATCAGGACCACTTTTTCCCTACTCAGACTCTGAGGCAGTGTGGAGCATGCTAGATCCCTTCCCCCCGAATGGCTGGGGGGTGACGCGGGTGACTAAAGTAGTGGCACGTCCCTACCACTGACGTCTAAATGCACCTTATCCGCCTGCTGTGAGGCTGGTCCAGCGACAGTCCCTGTGTTGCCAGCAGAGCGGCTGTGGGAGGCTGGCGCGGTGATGAGGGGCCTGTGCCCCTGGACACGGCCCCTCTGGAGCCTGAGGCGGACGGAAGGCAGGGAGAGGTGTGCATCCGGACTCAAACTTGGGCAGCGTGGTTGACTCCTGGTCTCCCTTCTCCATGCTGCCCCCCTCCAGAGGGGTCTGTGCACCCACTGATCTTGGGCCTGCCTGACCGGGGGGCCTTCCCGACTCCTTTCTCCGCTCACAGATCCTCAAGCTCCTGAAGGGCAAGGTGGTGGTGGGGCATGCTCTGCACAACGACTTCAAGGCCCTCAAGTACTTCCACCCTCGGAGCCAGACCCGGGACACCACTTATGTCCCCAACCTCCTCAGCCAGCCCGGCCTCCACACCCGGACCCGGGTCTCCCTTAAGGACCTGGCCCTGCAGTTGCTGCACAAGAAGATCCAGGTGCGTGGTGGGGGGAGTGGTGGTGGTGGTGGGGGGGGGCGGCAGGGCTCCGCCTCCAGCTCCTTGTCGGTCCTGACCCGGCCCAGGTGCTGGGTCTCCTGCACGCACACGCAGCCCTGGGTGTTCCTCTGCAGCCTCCTTCCCCAGTGTGCACGGCTCCCAGCTCCTCTCCAGGTCTGTCCCCTCCCAGTCCCAGGCTCTGCCTGCCTTTGCAGCCACAGCCGCTCATAACTCCTCCCACTGGATTCACCTCCATTATCCCCTCTGCTCTCTGAGCCTTTGAAGGTGGCGATTTTCACCTCGCTTTTTTTGAGGACACAGGCTAGAGAAGCTAGATGGCCTGGCTGTGGCCGAGGTGCCCGTGCTCACCTGTCGGGAAGACCCATGCCCTCTCACCCTTCTGACAGTGCAGGGTGTGCAGCCAGTACACAGCCTGGTGTGACAGGCCTCTCCGGGGCGTGGGCAGTGACGTGCGGGCTCTCGTCCGCAGGGGGGCCGGCATGGGCACTCGTCGGTGGAAGACGCCGCGACGGCCATGGAGCTGTACCGGCTGGTGGAGGTGCAGTGGGAACGGCAGGAGGCCGGCCACCTCTGGACCCACCCCGAGGACAGAGAGCCTGACAGCAGCGCGGACGTGGAGCAGTATATGCAGGACCAGTACTGGCCTGAGGACCTGGGCCCGGGCACCAGCGGGGGAGGGGGGACACAGGATAGGACGGTGTGAGGGAGGAGAGGCTTGTGGGTGGCCTCCGGTGAGGGGAGTGGGGCCAGGAGGGCACTGGGCACCTCACCTGGACAGGGCACGGGGCAGCCAGCTTCCCCAGGTCCGAGGAGTTGGGATCATCTGTCCTCTGACCCCCTGTGCCCTTTCCAGGGCTGTTGTCGCCCCACCCCTGTGGTTTTGCTAATGGCACTTTATAGACACCGTGGGCTAGCTGCTAGAGCCCCGCATGAGCAGGGTCTGCGCCAAAGGACTGTCCCAGGCTCGCTCCCCAGCCCGGGAGGAGCGGTGGGCGTCATCAGCAGGTTCAGAGGAAGCGCCCTGAAGCTCCAGCGTGAAGACCACTCTGGGGCCCTTCCCCGTCCCTCCGGTGGAACTCTGGCCGCACCGTGGGAGGAGCTGGCGCCAGGCTCCGGTGGAACCGCAGGGGGACCTTTATCCATGAAGAGCAAGGCCGCCCGGGAGCAGAGTGCAAGTCAGCTGGGGCGCCGGAGCCTCGACTGCTGCCCCTTCGGGCGCTTTGATTGACAGTCACTGCGGTGGCTGGGTTTTCTCCAAATCTCCCGTCAGGATGTCACCCCTTCCCCCTCTTTCCTTGTTTCCTGAGGGGCAGTTTGGGGTACTGGGGTAGTCAAAACCTTAGGTCACACAGACCTTTGAGCTCCATCATTGCTTGTCCTTGTCACTGAATAGCGTTGGGACCTCAGGCAACTGTGTGACTTCACGCTTGAGCCTGTTCCCGGATCTGTGAAGGGGACAGTGAAGCGCCCTGCCTCGGGCCGCGAGGACGCAGGCCAGCGCGGAGCAGTGTCCGGCACACGGAGCCCTGGGCCACCCCAGCGCTGCTGTCTTGAAGGGCTAGTGTCAGCCTCAGGGTGACGCCCGAACACGCCCCAGCTGAGGGACTTTGCCCCAGCAGAACTACCCGTGCTTGGCTGTTTGAGCAGGTGGGGTAAGGCCAGTGGTGAGGTACTACGTGGAGGTTCAGGGTTCTCTGCTCGCCACCGCTGCGTGACCCAGGTGTCCTGGTCCCTGTGCTGTGTGCTGGCAGTGACTGGTCTCATGTCGGTCTGAGCGAAGCAGCAGGACCAGGGAGGGAGACACAGACCACACCGCTAGGACCCCACGGCCATAGAGCACTCACTCAGCCATCTGTCCCCCAGTCGCAGAGTAGGGAGCTGGCGAAGTCACGGACCACAGCTGGGCGGTAGCTTCTGTTCTGTCTGTGGGTGGAAGGAAGATGAAGCTGTTACTGGTCCAGGAATGGGCCGGGCTGCACATCGGCATTGTTGCAAAGCTGTTCTGGAATAAATCTCAACCGGAAACGTAGGTGAAGCGGCCTTTTCTGTGGATCCTCGGGCTAGGGTGAGGGATCCAGGGTGGAGGGGTCGGGGTGCTGGGATGCCCAGTCTTCTGGGAGCTTTGGCCTCTGCAGTGGTCGGCTTTCAAGATGGTGCTTGGGAAGTGGCAGGAAATGTTGGAGCTACAGAATTTATCCCATATACATACTTGAAACACTATGTAACTGCCCTGATGTATAGCATACATTTATTTTGTTTCTCCTGGAAGCTATATATTCACTTTTTTTAATCATAATTTTTTTTTTTTTTAGTTTTAACTGGAAAATACACAACAAAATTTATCATTTGAACCATTTTTCAGTGTAGAGTTCAGCAGTGTCAAGTGCACTCAAACTGCTCTCCAGAGCTTGTTTATCTTGCAAAACAAACTGAACCCATTAAGCAATAACCCCATTCCTTCCTCCCTTCAGTCCCTGGCAGCCAACATTCTACTTTCCTTTTTTTTTTAGTACGTGCCCTTAGCAGAAACTGAACCTGGGACTCTCTGGTCCACAGGCCGATACTCCAACCGCTGAGCCAAACCGGCCAGGGCTCTACTTTCTCATTCTATGAATTTGACTAAATACCTCATCTAAGTAGACCCCTACAATATTTATTTGCCTTTTGTGTTAGGCTTATTTCACTTAGCATAATGTCCTCAAAGTAAATCCACACTGTATGTGTCAGAATGTCCTTCCTTGTTAAGCCTGGACGATGTTCATTTGGACTTGTGGGCCACATTTCACCCATTCGTCCCTTGAACATTTGGGTGGCTTCCCCCTCTTTTTATTTTATTTATTTTTTTCTTTATTGAATTAGAGAGAGAGGAAGGGAGATAGATAAAAACATCAATGAGAGAGAACATCGATCGGCTGCCTCCTGCATGCCCCCCACTGGGCATCGGGCCCACAACCTGGGCATGTGCCCTGACTGGGAATCAAACCGGCGACCTCTTGGTGCATGGGTCGATGCTCAATCACTGAGCCACACCGGCCAGGCTGGCTTCCCGCTCTTGGTCATTGTGAATCATGCTGCTATGAACATGGGTGAGCAAATATCTTTTTGGGACCTTGCTTTCAATTCTTTTGGGTAAGTATCCCCTTACGGGAGGTTTTATTTCATCAATTGCAGTCTGAAAATAGCATGCAGAATTCCAGGAATAAATAACTCAGGAGTTTTATAAATACCTCACCGCTATTCTGAGTGGTGTGCTGAAACCTCACACTGCCCAGCTCCATCTCACCCAGGACGTTGGGAACGGTCCCTTTGTCCAGCGTCCCCGCCGTGTAGACACCCCCTCCCTTAGTCATGCAGTAGCTTCGGTTACTAGCAGCTGTCCTGGTACCAGGGTTCGTCATGGCCCCAAGTACAAGAATGCTGGTGCTGACCATTAGACGGGCCAAAGAGAAGCCAGCCGGTGCTTCCTTGACGGGAAAAGGCGCACGTTTTCGACTGTATGAGGAGAGAGAGAAAATTGTATACCGAGGTTGCCAAGATCTACGGGAACGAATCTTCCATCCGTGAGACCGCGAAGAAGGGGGAGTCCGTGCGGCTCTGCCCCACCGCAGACGGCTCGTTTCCCCCGTGTGTGAGGAGCGGAGGCTGGAGAAGACGGTGCACGTGCGGGAGGGGAGATGGACAGAAAGCCCGTCTCAGCTGACAGCGCGTGCTGTGAGCCTCTGAGGACCTCAGCCGGGTGCGCTGCCGTGAGCGTGGCCAGGCACCTACTGCAAACACGGGACGGCCACGCAGACTAAACTACTGCAGGAGCCGCGGCAGCGCTCATGGGGCTGCTGCCAGTTTCTGGCAGAGGTGAAGGGGTGGGTCAGGGCTCGGCAGTATCCTCACCGTCAGGGTAAGGGGCACTGCTGTCTACCCATTCTAAGTATTAAAAATTTTTTTTTTTTTTTTTTTTTTTTATCCTCACCCGAGGACATTTTTCCATTTTTTGTTCAGACAGAGTGGGAGGGAGAGAGAGAGAGAGAGAAACATCGACGTGAAAGGGACACATCGAGTGGCTGCCACCCGCACGACCCAACCAGGGCCGGGGACAAACTGCAACCAAGTTACATGCCCTTAGCGGGAACCGAACCTGGGTCTCTCCAGACCGCAGGCTAATGCTCTAACCGCTGAGCCAAACCGGCCAGGGCAGTATTTAAAAAAATTTTAATTGATCTTACAGAGAGAAAGAGAGAGAGAGAAACATGTACCGATTGTTGCCTCCCATATACACCCCGGCTGGGGATCGAACCCACAACCTGGGTATGTGCCCTGACTAGGAATCAAACGCCCAACCTTTCGGCGTACGGGATGACGCTTCAACCAACTGAGCCACCCGGCCAGGGCCCCATTCTGTTTAGTTTTCTGAGGAACTATTTTCCATAGAGGCCGCTTGTGATTTTCTGGGGTGGTGTCTGACCATTATGACCTGTGCCCTGGGCTTGGTGCTGGGTGTTCCGAGAAGGCCACACAGTGGCAGCCCTTGTTCCTGCTCCTGTCACAAGAGGTAGGCCCACTGACCCAGGGAGATCTGTGGGTGGTCTGGTCACAGAGGACACCAGCTCAACCTGGGAGGCTGGGGCAGGGATTGTCCCTAGACTCTCACTCACCAATGCCTGTGTCCAACCTCTGAACACACAAGGCCCTTGAAAACTCAGTATGACTCAGGCAGGGTTCCAGGTGCCGGGGATCCCACAGCAAACCGAACGAGTGGGAGGGGAAAACAGTGAATGAAGAAGGAAAATACACGGTCTTTCAGATGGAACCTGGGGAGGGAATAGGAGGTGCAGTTTTTTTGTTTTTGTTTTTTTTTAAATATGTTTTTATTGACTTTTAAGAGAGAGAGAGAGAAACATCGATGTGAGAAAGAAACATCAATTGGCTGCCTCCTGCACACTCCCTACTGGGGATCAAGCCCACAACCCCGGGCACGTGGCCTGACCGGGAATCGAACCAGGACCTCTCAGTCCCTGGGACAACGCTCAATCCGTGGAGCCACACCGGCCAGGGAGGGTGCAGTTTTGATAGAGGCCAGGAGAGGCCTCCTTGGAGACCAGAGGGGGAGGGAGCAAACTGCATCCATAACCGGGGGCAAGAGCTTTCCACACAGGACAGCAAGTGGGGCCCCGGAGACGGAGACAGCCAGAGGGGAGGGAGGAAGAGAGGAGAGGACCTGACTGTGGAACAGGCACCTCCGCCTCTCCCACCTGCAGGCGCAGACCTATCCTTCCCTCTGGCTCCGGCCCGGCACCGGGGGGCTGTGGATTAAGGACCCACACGATGTTCTGGGGGAGGCAGGGAGGACCTGACATGGTTTGGGAGGAGTCAAGGGTCTTGGAAACGGCACAGGAAGTAAGATGTGGGTTTTGCTTTGTTTCTTGTTGTTTTGACAACAGGAAGTCACTGTAGGTTCTTGAGAAAAGTAGCTTTGACAAACAGTGCCAAAGATTAGACTTTGGTATCGTTAATCGTTTAGGATTGGAAGGACGGTTTCGAGCCGGGCATGAAGGTGGAGGCCAGGAGACGGAGAGCCCCGGGGAAGGTGAGGGTGGGAGGGGAGGGGGCGTGGAGAGCCCCCCGGGAAGGTGAGGGCGGGAGGGGAGGGGCGTGGAGCACGGGAGAAACGCAGGGCAGACTTAAAGCTGCGGATTCGGAGCACACCACAGAGCAGGCTCAGCACGCATGGGGGCAAGAATTAGAGGAACAAGACGTGTTCTAAGACTATGGCGGTGCCCCGGTTGGGAAACTCAGTTGTTTAGAGTACATCCCCATACACCAAGGTTGTGGGTTCAGTCTCTGCTTGGGGAACATACAAGAAACAACCAACAAATACATAAATAAGTGGAACAACAAATCAATCTCTCTTTCTCTCAATAAATAAGAAAATTTTAAAGACTCAGGAGGTTCCTCGGTCAGTTGGGCTCAGAGGTTAGAGCATTGGCCCAAGGACCAAGGCGTCCTGGGTTCGGTTCCTGTCAAGGGCATGTACCTTAGTTGCAGTTCAGTCCCGGCCCTGGTCAGGGTCACGCAGGAGGCAACCAATCCATGTGTCCCCCTCACGTTGATGTTTCTCTCCCTCTCGTCCCCTCCCTCCTACTCTATCTGAAGATAAATGAGAAAGTATCCTCGGGTGAGGATTAAAAAAAAAAAAAGTCTGAGGAGTTGAGTCAGATAAGGGGTTTCCCAGCAGGAAGTTGATGTGTGCAGACTCCCAGGGGGCGCTGGGGTGCCTGCGGGGATGGTAGAAACAAAACCTCCAATGGGAGCTTGAGGGGATTACTTTTTCAGTGTAACAGGAATTTTGCTTCATTTCCCCCGACATCAGAGTACCATGTTGGCAAAACAAAGAAAATCTCCAGAGTCTGAATTTGAGTAAAATTTGCTCATTCAGAATGGGAACCAAAAGGAACCTCCGATACCTCCCATTTGAACCCACTGAACAACAAACAGGAACAATACCTGATCATTCAGACATACTGCAGTATCCGGTTTTCTTTTTGAGGTCTCCCGTGTGAAAACACCCTGGACTTGGGGAAATTCCTTTTCCAAGCCACCAATCTCTGCTCCCACTGGGGGCAATCGGATCCCACAGCCTGGTGCTTATTCTGCATGGATCTGGGGAGGATCAAGATATGGGGTGTCGACTCTGTTCAACCCCACTACAGCCCATGGAAGCTGATTCTGTTTATACCCTCACTGCAACTCATTCATTTATTCAACACATACTGAGTGCTTCCCCTGTGCCAGGCACCATGCTAAGGGATCGAAGATCCAGTTTGGGAGAGAGTAACCAAGAGCAAATAGAGCCAGGTTTTGGGGGGGGTCCCTCCAAGCCTGCTTCTCCTTGTCCCCAAAGAGTGTCAGTTGGAGGCAGTTTCTGAGGCACCCTGAAGCAACAGACCCTAAGTCTCCGTCGCCGCTTCCTTGCCTTCCCTGGGCTGGGGGCCAGCCCCCCTCACCTCACCCCTTCTGCCCTTCCCCTGTCCCAAGTGCCAGCTCCCCTTGCCCCATAAAAAAGCCCCCCAGAGAGTTACAGTCTGTTCTCTGAGTTCGTGTGTGTCCCCCTGCCCATGCTGCCTGGATGCCCTCCCAGAACCGCCACTCGGCCACCACCAAAGGAGGTGGAGAAGAAGTCACAGCAGGAGCTGATGACCCTCATGATGTCTGGTGACAAAGGAATTCCTGCCTCCCCTAAATCAGACCACCTTTTCAAACGGGTGGGGACCATCCACGGAGCAGCTGGCACAGTACACAAACACCTGCGATACAAGCTCTCCCCAGAGTTCCCCAGTGGCTACCCATACAAAGCGCCCACAGTGAACTTGCTCACGCCCTGCCACCACCCTCACGTAGACACCGCGGTAACCTCTGCCTGCACATCCTAGAGGACAGGTGGTCCACCCTGTCTGACCTCAGGGCCATCCTGCTCCCCATCCAGAGCCTGCTGGGAGAGCCCCACATCAATAGCCCACTGCACACACAGGCTGCGGAGCCCCGGAAAAACCCCACCCCTCTAAGAAGTACCTACAGGAAACCTATGCAAAGCAGGTCTCCAGCCAAGGGCCCTGACCCGGGCTGTCCAGCCTCTCTCCGTGTGCTGTCTTTTTATTTTTCCTTAGATGGTCTGTCCTTGCCTTGATTTCTGTATAGGACTCTGTATCGTCAGCTGTGGTGTCTTATTTGTTCTGTTTTTAAAATTTATTTATTATTATTATTTTTATCCTCACCTGAGGACATTCTTGCATTTATCTTCAGATAGAGCGGGAGGGAGGGGGGGGGAAGAGAGAGAGAGAGAGACATCGATGTGAGAGAGACACATTGAGTGGTGGCCACCCACACAACCCCAACCAGGGCCGGGGACAGACTGCAACAGAGGTACATGCCCTTAGCGGGAACCGAACCCGGGACTCTCTGGTCCATGGGCCGACGCTCTAACCGCTGAGCCAAACCGGCCAGGGCTTGTTAGTTTTTTAAATTAAGTCTCTGCCCTGGCCGGTTTGGCTCAGCGGTTAGAGCATCGGCCCGCAGACCCATGAGTCTCAGGTTCGATTCCAGCCAAGGGCAGTTGGCCTCTTGCCATCCCTGCTGGTGTCCCCTTGGTGGCAGTCCGTCCGTGGCCCTGGTCGGGGTAATGTGGGAGGCAACCTGTCAATGTGTCCCTCTCATGTCGATTGTTTCTCTCTCTCCCTCCCTCTCACTCTACCTGAAGATAAATAGAAAAATAACTTTGGGTAAGGATTAAAAAAAATAAAAAGTTAATTAAGTCTCTGGTTGAGCCCCTGTAATGAATATATTAAATAAATACATTTTTGTTTCAAGAAAAGCCTCCCAGAGCATGAGGCTGGTAGCACCCGAGAGACTGTAGGATATTCCCTGAGCTCCAGTCCTGGGGATGTTTACTCCAGGGCGGAGGGTAAGGAAGGGAAGAGAAAATGTTGCAATCCACGTCAGCAGCAGCCGCTAGCAACAGCGTCAGCTGAGCGATTAGCTGGAGGACAGGGGCAAAGGCCGGACGGCCCGAGTGGAGCCTGCCCTCTTACTCAGTCCTGACTCAGGTCACAGAGCTTCCCCATCTTCCGGTAGGTGATGGAGCACCCAGCTCACGTGCTTCACTTGAAAACGAATCTGAAACTGAAGCAGCTGGGCAGGGCAGGGTTCCCCGCTGGAAGTCAGAGGGGAGTCACTGCTAAGAACAGCTGGAGCAGCTGAGCAGCCAACAGACAGGCAGAGGCGTGAGCCTCAGGAAGCAGCAGGTAAGAGCGAGGGCCAGGATGGCCGGTTCGAGGCACGTCTCCGGGGTGGCAGGCCAGAGGAGGTGGCCTCCTGGTCCTGAGGCTGCCAAGCAGGGCCAGAGTCCCTGGGACCGGCCAGGCGGGGACACCAGCAGGGATGGCAAGAGGCCAACTTCCCTTTGCCAGGTGGTGTTAGTGATAAAGGCAGGGCAGAGGACGCAGGCTGGCTGGGCGGTGGCTGAGGATCCCTGGGGCCCCGGCTGGCCCCGGGGTGATGCCCTTTCTGCTTCCTGTTCTCAAGCACAGCTGAGTGTCCCGGCGAAGCATGGCAAGCAGCATGGAGGCAGTGGCCATGGACTGTGAGATGGTGGGGCTGGGGCCCAGCCGGACGAGCGGCTTGGCTCGCTGCAGCCTCGTGGACGCCCAGGGCTCCGTGCTCTACGACAAATTCATCAGGCCCGACGGGCATATCACCGATTATCGAACCCGGGTCAGCGGGATCACACCTCAGCACATGGAGAAGGCCGTACCCTTTGCGGTGGCCAGGCTGGAGGTGAGTGAAGGGCCGTGTGCCAGCCAGGCCGAGGGGGGCTGCACACCCCACTACTGACACACACTTACTTCCCCAAGTGCCGGATCTGTGACCTGTGCCACCCCAGCACGGGGGGCTCCAGGGTGTTGGTTCTCCATCACATCCCTGAGAAGAAAGGCTTTCTGCCATCAGACAGCGGCGACCCCCCTCTGGGAGCAGCTGGTCAGTGATGATGAAACGGGGTCCCGCCTGATGTTCCCCACTCTGATTTGGGGGCTGGACTCTTCCTTCTTTCCTCTACACCAGGCCACCCCTGGTGAGCCCTGTGTGGCATGAAGGCGCGTCCGGGCGGAGGCCTTCATTGATTGGCCCTTGCAGGGGGCCCCCCTGGCCCTGGAAAACTGGCCCAAACCCTCTGGGCCGAGGGGAGCACTGCTCCAAGACCCACCGCAGGCAGGTCGGCCATCAGTCCATCAGTCTGTGGTCCCCAGGTCTGCTTCCTCCTTTGGCTGTCTCTAAAGATCTCCAGGTTTAACTTTCTGTTTCTCAGAAGTACCAACCAGAAAGGAAACTCAGCCACTCTCAAGGAGGCCCCCAGGTTAGTCACTTTGGGGAAGGTCTAGAAGGGCAAAGAAACCACCTCATCAGTTCCCAGCTGGTGGGGCCTGGGGATGGCCAAGTAGAACAAAAAACTGCAAGTTCAGCTCCCCGCGCGCTGCTGAGCCGGGCTCCAGGCACTAGACATAAAACCACAACAATCGCTGCTGCGCGTGTGTGTGTGTTTTTATCCTCACCTGAGGATATGTTTTTATTGATTTTAGTAAGAGAGAGAGGAAGGAAGCGAACATCAATCAGTTCCCCACCACCTTTTGGTGTACGGGACTATGCTCCAGCCTCCTGAGCCACGGGGCCAGGGCACTATAGCTCCTGTTTACTGAGCTCTGGCTGGGTGCCCTCCTGACACTCAGTCTCCGAGCTCATTCACGCGTCACTCACACCTCCCCGGACAGCCCGCCAGGAGGGTTCTCGGGAAGTAACTCGGTTCGAATCCCGGCTGGTTACTTACCAGCCCATTTACCCGGTGCAAACTCTTCAACCTCTCTGCACCGTTTCCATGCCCAGCAAAGAAAACAGGATGGTAACAGTAGCAATTTCATAGGATTCTTGTGGGGATTCAGACAGGGCCAGGAGAGAGGGCCTCTGATTACTCACGCTAGCTGCCGTGATTGTCTGCCCTGGTGAGCCCTGTGTGGCATGAAGCCGGGTCCCTGAGTTACGGAGAAGCAAACAGAGGCTCGTGGACTGAGGTATTGATTGGTTGGCTGGGGCCACTGCAACAAAGTACCACGAAGTGTGTGGCTTCCACAGCAGAAGTGTGTGGTCTCAAGATCAAGGACTTGGGGGGATGGCTCCTTTTTTGAATTGAGAGAGAGAGAGAGAGGAACACTGATTTGTTTTCCACTCGTTTATGCATTCATTGGCTGATTTCTGTATGTGCCCTGACCGGAGATGGAACCCGCAACCTCAGCGTATTGGGACGACGCGTTAACCAACTGAGTGACCCAGCCGGGGCCCAGGGTTGGCTCCCTCCGAGGGCGGTGGGCGAGAACCTGTTTCTCTCTCTCCTAGTTCTAGTGGTTGGCTGGCCATCTTTGGCGTCCTTGGCTTGTAGAAACAGCACCTCGACCTCTGCCTTCCTGTTTGCGTGGTGTGTGTCTCGGTACCCAAATTTCCCCTTTTTATAAGAATGACAGTCATTTGGGTTAGGGGTTCCCCCTAATTGCATCGGTAAACACCCTGTTTCTATGTAAGTCACATTTTGGGGAACTAGGGATTTCAAGAAATGAATTTGGCTGCGGTTGGGGGGCATTGTTCATGACACTGAAAACCTTGCACAGATTCAGAAATAGAATGGGGAAACGGAAACATGGGCTCAAAACCTCCGGCGCTGTGTGTCCAACAGGGGCCACCAGCCGCATGTGGCCAGAGAGTGCCCGAAAAGCAGCAGGTCCGTGCTTCGAAGTGTCGCGAGTGTACATGGGATTGGAAAGACCTCTAGATAAAAAAAAAATTCTTTTTTCTTTATTGATTTTTATAGAGAGAGGAAGGGAGAGGGAGAGAGAGATAGAAACATCGATGAGAGAAAACATCGATTGGCCGCCTCCTGCATGTCCCCACCAGGGATGTGGCCCACAACCTGGGCATGTGCCCTGACCGGGAATTGAACTGGTGACCTCTTGGTGCCTGGGTTGATGCTCACTCACTGAGCCACACCAGCTGGGCAAGACTTCTAGATTTTTTTTTTTTTTAAATCATAAAATACCTCAATACTTTTTTTATAGCGATGGCATGTTGAATGGTAATATTTTGGATCTATTAGGTTAAATAAAACCGTTAAAACTAATCTGACCTATTTCTTTTTACCTTGTTAAATATGGCTATTATTAGATTACCTAAAATGACTCACAAAGCTCCTGTTATATTTCTATTGGAAAGCACTGACCAAGAGGTACTAAGAGGGTGCTGGAGAGCCCCGAGGAGGGGGCACAGTACATCACCAGGGTCCTGGAAAGACTCCATGAGGTGGGCGGCATGGGCAAGGGGTGGGAGGAGTTTGTGTATGCAACCGAGTGGGCCATAGGGAGCCACTGAAGATTGTTGAGCAAGAGCATGGTAGGATCGAAGCCAGTTTCAAAAAACACTATAATGTGGGGGCGTGCTGTGGAGGAGAGATGGGAGAGAGGAAGACATGACAATGGGGATAAGAGCCAGAGCCCCTAGGGAGCAGCTACGGGGCCTGAAACATCAGCAGCAGAGAGAGGACGGGAAAGAAGGAAATGTTAGGATGTAGGAGACCAAAGGAGAGCCACCAAGAAGGGGAGAGCAGCAGAAAGAAGAGGTGGGTCAGCTCAGGTGGCAACGAGAGGCCCAGGGACACTGCAAGCACCCCCACACTCAGATACCCACTGAGCACTCGGGGGGACGCACGGCCTCATGCTTCTCCCTCCTCCCCAGCCTCCCTCCCATCAGAAGTGCAAACAGCCTGGAGCAGGGGGGACAGGAAGCAGCAAAGAAACGCATCTCACATCCCTGGGCCCTTGATAATTATTCAGATAATTCCCTGGACGCCCTTGACCCTGACCTGGCTCCTCGTCCAGACTTGGTGCAGAGATGCTTTGGTTCTGCGTGGGAGCTTACGTCAGGTCCAGGGCTTCTCTGCGTGGCATGAAGCCCTGCCCAGAGTGGGCACTTAGCCGTTCCAGGGGTGAGGCAGGGTCTAGAGTGGGTCTCGGGAACCACGGCTGGGGTTCACACTTCCTGCCTCATCACGCACTGGTCTGCGTGACCTTTGGAAAGCTGGGCACCCTTCCTGAGCCTGTTTTCTCCCAGGGACAGGGACGGACCGACGTCTCCTCCCTTGTCCGGCGGTGGTTAGATACAGTGATGACCTATAGCCTCAAGCTCAGTGCCTAATTCACGACTGAGGTTCACTGATGTGCCCGTGGACAGAGGGTAGAGACCCAGAGTATACGTCTGAATCCCCTCTCTGACTCCCCTTGAAAACGGAGGTCTCATTTGCTGCCTATCCTGCTGCCAGAGAAACGTCCTCGGGCCTGGCTCAGATCCCAGCCTCCCACCCCCTCTAAGTACCCCCCAGGGCTCCCCACGACCCAGGGTCCTCTCAGCCCCAACCTACCTATTTCTCCTGCCTTCTCTCATAGTTCAGCCATCACCCACCTGTGACTCAGCCAAACGTCTACTCATCCCGCATCCCTGTCCCTAGAAATCCTACCATTCTGGCAGGCCCAGGCCAGGGGAGGTCTTTGCGATGTCCCTCCCCACAGATCAGACTGTCAGCACAAGAAGGAACTCATGAGCAGATGAGGTCCAGAGAGGGTCGATGATTTGCCTAAGGACACACAGCAATATGGGATGCAACTTAGTGCTCAAATCCAGAGCTCTTACCTGGCAGATTAACGATCTTTTTCTTTTCTTTTTTACTAATAGTAATTTTTAATAGCTTGTAACTCATTTCTGTAAGTTAATGCTCTCTTTTAATGTTAGCCCAGTGTGGGGAGTAGCATCTACCCCGTAATGGGGATTGGGATCATTGCATTTTCAGTTTGCAGACCAGGGGACTGCATCCCTGAAGCATTGTGGTTTAGGAGGGAGGCAGGACACAGAAGGAGGCCATGGTAGCTTGTGAACCGGAAGCTACTCCATCTGGAACGAGCCCTCGCCTCGGCTGGAGGGCTGCGCAGGGCCCTGCCACCAGGCGGGTGTCTCTGGGCTCGGCCAGATGGAGGACGACTTCAGCATCCAGGTTTCTCCAGGGTGAGCTGCCTGTGGGAAGAAGGCACAAGCAGGGGACAGGAGGAAAGGCGGGGACCAGGGTCCTCTTGAAGATGACAGTAAACGAACTGGGCCTCCACAGGGACAACATTCTTTAGAGTCACTGACAGACACCTGTCCCGGCAGCCAGGAATGAATGAATGGATACAAGAACTAACAGGAGGGATGAATGGATACACGAACTAATGAAGGACTGATGAATGGATACACGAACTAATGAAGGACTGATGAATGGATACACGAACTAATGAAGGACTGATGAATGGATACACGAACTAATGAAGGACTGATGAATGGATACACGAACTAATGAAGGACTGATGAATGGATACATGAACTAATGAAGGACTGATGAATGGATACACGAACTAATGAAGGACTGATGAATGGATAGACAAAGGAAGGAACAGATGAATGGATATACGAACTAGTGAAAGACGGATGAATGGATACACGAACTAATGAAGGACTGATGAATGGATAGACAAAGGAAGGAACAGATGAATGGATATACGAACTAGTGAAAGACAGATGAATGGATACACGAACTAGTGAAGGATGATAAATGGATACATGAACTAGTGAAGGATGATGAATGGATACACGAACTAGTGAAGGATGATAAATGGATACATGAACTAGTGAAGGATGATGAATGGATACATGAACTAGTGAAGGATGATAAATGGATACATGAACTAGTGAAGGACAAATGAATGGATACACGAACTAGTGAAGGACTGATGAATGGATACACGAACTAATGAAGGACTGATGAATGGATACACGAACTAATGAAGGACTGATGAATGGATACACGAACTAATGAAGGACTGATGAATGGATAGACAAAGGAAGGAACAGATGAATGGATATACGAACTAGTGAAAGACAGATGAATGGATACACGAACTAGTGAAGGATGATAAATGGATACACGAACTAGTGAAGGACGATGAATGGATACACGAACTAGTGAAGGATGATAAATGGATACATGAACTAGTGAAGGACGATAAATGGATACATGAACTAGTGAAGGACAAATGAATGGATACACGAACTAGGAAGGATGGATGAATGGATGATGGAAACTGCAGCTCTGAGCTGCTCCACAGGCTTCGGTGCAGGGATGTCCACGCTCACCCCACGCACACCAGGCCCTGGAACACTGCCGAACGCCCGCCCCTGCGGGGTGATTCAGTGGATTCTGCAGTAGGGACCTGCCTTCTGGATTTTCAACAAGGGTCCCAGGTGACTTTATTTGATTTGGAAACACTTGCAACGAGAGTGAAACACCGTGGAAGGAGAGGACACAGGCAGGCACCTGGGCCCGTCCCTCCCCGGCTGTGTGACGTGGGTACACGCTGCTCTGTGGCCCCTTTCTCTGTCGGTCTCACGGTATGACGATCCTCGCCCTCCGGAAGCTGCTTTCTTGGTTCAAGAAACCTTCACCCAGTGTTCTGCTCTGAAATTAACGGTGCTAATATAGTCCACAGTTCCCGGTAGTGGTAATAATAACAACCATAAGAACAGTGACAGGGTCGGGTAGATCCAGGTACTGCATCTCAGCTCTCGACTCCCCCGCTGTGTGGCCTGAGGGAGCCTCTTAACCTCTCTGATGCCCGGCCCCATCCTCTGTAAAATGGAACTAAGAATATTCTTGAGACGCCTCATGCCGAGGTGAGCAAAGTACCTGGCCCAGGGCCAGGATGATAGATAAGTGTCCCTGCCCTGCTCCCCTCCCAGCCCCGCCCCAGACAGCCAGTGGAGCCCTGACTACTAAATGGCCACCGGACCCTCACCGTACAAATGGGGGACGGAAGCCCAGAGATGGTCTTCAACCTCCCTGAGACCCCAGAGCAAGTCCCAGCATCTTTGTCCTGCAGGGTTGTTGGTATCTGTCTACTAAATAGGTTGTGTTCCCCTTTACCCTGCCTTCTCTTCCTTCTTCTGTGTGTCCGCCCCCGTCGTACGCTATTTGTCTCGTGGTGAGTCCTCTGTTACTGAACACAGGCCCCCCGGGGACCCTCGGGCTCAGGAAGTGATGAGTTTCCCAGGAGTCCACCCTGCGATGACCTGGCACTCTTATTTCTGGGACACGGGGGCTGTCCCTGGAATGGCAGACAGTTCCCTTGTGTGAGCTGGGCCCTCGCCAGCTCCGAGTGGGGGGTCTGGGGGGACAGGCCACATTGTTTGCAAACCAAGGGTGTCAGCAAGAGGAGACACGTGGCCCCCAGCCAGGAGCACGGCTCCCCGTTTTCTCTGCGTGCTGGCCGGTGACCTTTCCTCCAAGCACCAGATTCTGAGGTCGTGTGTCCTCCCCACTCAGGGGGACCCCAGACCCATACCCTCTGTTAGAAGCTCAGAACCCAGATTTCACTGAGATGCCCAGGGGAGTCCTCACCCCGCGCGAGAAGGTGCTGGCACCCACAGGAGTACGCAGCTTTGGTCCTCAAGTGGCTTCCCCAGCCCCTATGCCGAGCACGGGCTCTGTCCAGAGGCGGCCCCCACAGCACCCCGAGAATGGCGGGGCAGGCTGGTGGCATTGCCTGTTGATGGCGGACGGACAGACCCTGTCTCCAGCGCTGACTGTCGACAAGTCACCTCACCTCTCTGAGCCTCAACTTTCTCTTCTGTAAAGTGGCCATGATGTCCCCCCGGTCTCCAAGGGAGAGCCCACCAAGGGCCCCACAGGAGGTCCCAGGAGGCCACTGGCGGCAGAAGCAGGCTGAGGGAGGGCGTTAGCCATCAGGAGGCTCCTTCCTGTGGTACAGACCTGGGTCCTGGGCTAGCACAGGGGGAGGGATGCTGGCCGCCCCAGAGCTCCCAGAGGCGGGTCTGACCGGCCAGGTGCTGCCCCTTCAGCCACAGCTGGTCCATGTCCCCAAGTGTATTTCAGCCCCCTTCCCGTTATCTCTAATGGCAGCCAAGGAAAAGGAAGGGGCTGACCTGTGTGGCCGTAGGGAGGCTCTCTGCGGGGCCACCATGGGAGAAGGGGCGAGAACAGAGGCGAGAGGAGAGATGACACATGCACAGGGCGCCAGGCTGGGGCCCAGAGCAGGACGGCAGAGGGTGGTGGCTGCTTTGAAGGCCGATCTGCCATGAGCTGTGTGATTGTCCCACGCACCCCGAAACCTAGTGGCTCACTAGGTCAATATTTACTTCACCTGTGTCCTGCAGTCTGGGCAGGGCTTGGCACACAGGGCAGCTGGGCAGCGGAGGCATCTTGCAAGCCGAGGGCTGGAATCCTCACGAGGTCTGTTCGCCTGCCCGCGTGCCGTCTGGCTGTGCGCTCCTCAGTCTCGTCTTTCCATCCCCACGTGGTCTCTCCAGGCTTCGGGGTAGATCAGGGACCCAAGGACACTGGCCCCATAGCCGAGTCGGAAGTCACACGGGCCGGCTGAACGCCCCAGGTCCCGTCGAGGGGAGTGTCGAGAAACCAGCCAGCTTCTTTTTGACATCGTCAGAGCAACCCTGAGCACATGCCTTCGCTTCTTGGTGCTCCGGTTGTTGCCATGTACAGAATCCGCTTAAATGCAGCCCGCCCTCCTGGCTCTGTTAGTTTTCTGCAGGGGCTGCAACAAAACCACCAACGTCCCGGTTTTCATCACCTGACTCGGTGCAGAAGTCCTCCCGAGAGAATGGGAGGCGGGGCTGAACGGGCCAAGCCTCCAATCATGGCTCTGGCTTTCCGGTGACCAGCCCCCAACCAGGAGCCCACCCAGAGTTGCCTCATTAGTACAAAAGACACACCCGTGACCCAGGAAATCCCAAAGGTTTCAGGAGCTCTGTCAGGAGCTGACAAGAGACAGATAGAGGTTCTTCTATTCTTTCACCCATTGCAACTCCCCATTGAAACCACCAAAGGGCCTTCAGCACAGAGCTGAACCATGGAGAAGATGGTCCCCTTTTCTCATGTTGTAGATGCCATGTGCGAAGCTCAGAGAGGGACAGTGATTTGCCCAAGGTCACAAAGCAAGTCAAAGGGGGGTGGTTCCCGCATGATGGCGCCCAGTTGCCCCAGACCCACGCGGAGGACCTGGGTGATGTGTGGGATGCCTGTCTTCCCGGCCAGATCCTGCAGCTCCTGACAGGCAAGCTGGTGGTGGGCCATGACCTGAAGCATGACTTCGAGGCCCTGCAAGAGGACATGAGCGCGTACTCCGTCTACGACACGGCCGCCGACAGGCTGCTGTGGCGCGTGGCCGGCCTGCAGCACTGCAAACGCGTCTCCCTGCGGGTGCTCAGTGAGCGCCTCCTGCAGAGAAGCATCCAGGTGAGGCCCCCTCCCTCCCCAGGCCTGGGGCAGCCCATCCAGGGCATCACTCGGAGGGTCTGTTTGGGGGGCCTGGCCCTTCCCTCCAAGACTCTAAACCCCACTCGTGGTAACAGACCAAATACTTGGTCCCAGACATGCTCCGACCCCCCCTGATCCTGAGGGGCTGTGTACTTTTGAGAAGGGCGGTGTCTGCATTAGAACCTCCAAGTCAACAGGTGTTTATGACGCAGCTGCTGACCCAGATGCTGGGGACATCAGGTGAGCAAGGCCCTGTCCTTGAACTCTTGGTTCAGTGGAAGGTGCCCCCACCTGGATCATCAGCACACACAGTGGGGAGCGCCCGACGGAGGGAAGGGCAGGCGTCCTGGGAGCAGGGATGACAGCAGGGTGGCAGCCAGGATAAGAGACCAGATCTGGACGGAGTTTGAAAGGTGACTGTTAGTGGAGGAGGCTGGAGACAGGGTGGGGAGGGGACAGCTGAGCCCCAGCCTGCTTGGCTGGGGAGCAGGGATCATGTAGGAAGCAGGAGATGGGCCTGGCTCTGGGCTCCTCTGTTGGGCCAGCACAGTGATCCACTGAATAACACCGTCTCAACGTGCTGAGCAGGGAGGCAAGTGGCACTTTAGAAACACCTTTGCAAGCTGCTCCTCGGTGCCCAGGGGCACCCTGCAGAGGCTCAGCCCCTCTGTGTCCTGTGGAAAGTCTGCAGTGTCCCCATCCGGCACCGAGTGTGAGCACCCTGAGGGCCCAGCCCGGCTCTGAGGATACTGGATGTGGTGCATGGTCGTATCTGGGCCCTGGTGGCCCGGTCCCATATCCAGGCCTGCTCCAGCCCCCAGCTGAGTCCAAGGTGTCAGAGTCCTGGGGAGACCTACCCACTGACCCACCTCAGGGGCTGGAAGTCGGGGTGAGAGCAGCGAAGGGTGGGGCCTCTGCATCCAGCCCCTCCCCCCAAGTCCCCATTCGGTCCATGTGTCTGCAGAACAGCCTGTCTGGACACAGCTCTGTGGAAGACGCCAGGGCCACCATGGAGCTCTATCAGCTGTCCCGGAAAATCCGTCGCTGAGGGCTGCCCACCTGGCAGAGTCAGCTCGCTTCAGCCCCGCCCCAGGGGCCAGAGCTCTTTGTCTCCTCAGGACAGCGACTCCCTTGCCTTTGGAAAACGCACCTTTCGTAGTAAAACGCCTGTATATTTTCTCCACTCCCGTCTCAGCACTCTCCTTGTCTTTTCTGTCTTCTCTCCGAGCGGGCACGGCGGACGCGACCCAGTCTGCGTGGTGGTGCGGAGAGGCAGTGAAGACTTGAGTCGGGACGTGGGGGACAATGTCCGTGTCCTTAATACCTGGAATCCTGGGGGCCATGTGGTTTAACTCACAACCCTTGTCCCTGCCTTCCTTTACCAGGTGCTTCCATGCCCAGAGGGGTGGCCCTGTTTCTGGGCACCCAGCTCAGAGGCCCCCCATCCCATCTTGAAATTGGTATCACAATAGTGAGACTCAAGCAAAGCACCGGAAGTGTGATGGGTGCCACCCTGGTGACCTCCACTGAATCACCCCTCCTCCTACTTGTAAAGTAAGGACCTGGAGCTGGTGGACTCTGGAGTCTCAGAGGAGTGGGTGCGAATCCTAGTTCTGCCATTTGGTAGCTACTGAACCTCCCGGTGCCTCCGTTTCTCCTTCCGTAAAATGGGGAATTCTAACAACTCGTTGGATGCTTGGGAGATGTTGCCTACGAAATCCCATCACTGCACCCGTCCGAGCCCCCGCACCCACGGGATGCAAATAACTGGCGGTTAGTCTCTGGACCACCTGAGGAGCCAGGGGACCCCAGGGAGAGTGGCCGCACTCAGAGAGCCACCAGGCAGGACTCCTGCCACCCCCCACCCCCTTGACTGCCTTCTCCTGCAGAGAAAGGGCCGCATGTATCCGAAATAGCCCCACCGCAGGTAAGGTTGAGGACACAAGGGATTCAAATGCAGGCCCGTCGGACCCCAAACTGGAGTGCTTTTCCCTCCAACTGCTTTGCAATGGCTGTGCCTCACACTTGCACCCTAACCTCTGCCGACCTAGAGGGCCCCTTTTCCCACGTGAGGGGTGGAGAGGTGCTGCTTGCGGGTTCAGGGCTCTCTGCTGCCCTCTGCTGTTGCATCCTTTTTAGGGACCGCCGCAGCCACCAGGTGCGGCTGCCTTGTCTGGCCGTGACCGGCCACCAGGTGGTGCCCTTGGACCGTCTATCAGCCAGGCTGCCTCAGGCAGAACCAGCAGCCAGAACACGGGGGTGAGGTGTGAGGGCGGAGTCTGCAAAAATGGGCTGCTGGAGGGGACCTTTGCAGCTGTCCTCACTCAGCCACTGAGCAGAGGCTCAGGGAGGGACGGGGCGGTGATGCAGCCACGCCGGGAAGGTAACCCCAGGCTGTCCACAGCCCCAAGGTGCTGGGATGCCTCCAGGGGAGAGAAAACCTGGGGAGGCACCCACCCCAACTCCCAGGGGGGCGCCAGGACCCAAAGGGCAATGTGGGCCTTTGATTCTGGCCCTGGGCACATGGGCTCCTTGCTTTCGGTCCAGTGCTTTTCCAGTGGGGTGAAAAACAGTCACAGAAACACGGACGTTAAGTGCTCTAGAGAACACCTGCTTTAGAGCCAGGGCGACCTGGCTCAGGTGTCTCACCACTGAGGGGCTCAGTGTTCGCATCCATCACATGGGCCGAGAGGAGACCTGAGACTTCATAGGCAAGGTGCCCAGTCGTGACCCATAACTAGCACCCACCACTCATGATCATAATAAAAACAGAGCTACCCTGGCCGGTTTGGCTCAGCGGTTAGTGCTGACCCGCGGACCAATGAGTCGCGGGTGTGATTCCCGGTCAAGGGCACATACCTTGGTTGTGGTTTGTCCCCGGTCTGGGTCGGGTCGTGCGGGAGGCAACCAGTCGATGTGGCTCTATCACATCCATGTCTCTCTCTGTCTCTCCCTCCTTCCCACTCTATCTGATGATAAATAGAAAAATATCCGCAGGTGAGGAATACAAAAACAAAACAAAAAACAAAGAGCTGCCCCTGGACCACCCCTCTAGACCCCCGACCTCGCTGGGCCCTAACAGAAACAGTCCATGCCTGAAAATGTTGGGTTTATTTTATTCATTTATTTATTCACTTATTTGTTTATTGTTTATCCTCACTGGAGGACATTTTTGCATTGATCTTCGGACAGTCCTGGGTTCGGTTCCCACTAAAGGCACGTACCTCGGTTGCAGTTTGAAAATGTTGGGTTTCTTCAACGAGGTTGTAAAGGGTGTAGGAAGGGAAGACGGTGTTTGTGAGTGGCGGCTCTGTGACCCACACTGTCATCCCTCAGAGCCTTCCCTCTGGTCTCTACCCCAAACCCTTCAGCTGCCCCCCTTGACTTCCCTGGGTGATTTCCAGCCTGCTTCCCCCATCGGTGCTCAGACCCACAGATGCTGTATTCTCCCCTGGGCCACCCCTCCTGGACCAGGGGTGTCCCCATTCCCAGAGCACCTGCTGAGGTGCCCTTCCCAGACCTTAGACACCCTGGGGGCCTATCTCTGCTCCAGGGCAGGGCAGCCAGGTGAATGACTAAGCCCCGGAGTAATGAGTGCCAGGCCTGCCCGCTGTGCGGGGCGGGAGGGTGTGCCCTGCTGGACGGGGCGGTGGGCACTCAGCCCCGGCGGACTGTGGCTGGCAGAAACGCTGGCCAGTGGGAACATCCTGAGGGCTGTCTGAGCCACAGGCCACCAGTTTGAGACCTACGCTCTAGTCTAACTCTCACCTGACACCGGACCCCTTTTGGCTGGGGGGATGAGGGACCAGTCACCCTCAGCCTGGCCGTGTCCAACAGCAGAGAATTAATCCACGGTCTCAAAAGCACCCCTTAGAGGCTCGGGGTCCTCATTTACACACGCATTGCTGCTCCACGGAAGCTCCCACCCAGGACAAATCCACGCCCACTCCGACATGGCGACCTGTCTTCATGACTCTCGTTTCTGCCCCATGATGCAGCTTAAATGTCCCCCATTTCAACATTTTCCCTTTGCGCCGGGCTCCTCCCCATTTCCCCTCTGCCTCACAATCACCCCAACTTCCTTGCGCCCCCCGCCCCTTCTCTGCCCACTTTCCCCACCCCATTCTCCGTGGATTTCTAACAGATGCCGAGGACGTGGAAAAATACCAGCGCTCGGCTGAGTGAAGGGAATGAGCATTGTCACCCAGCCCAGGGCTGGCTTTGGGAAGAACCGAGTGGTCCTCCGGCTTTGGCAGAATGGACCAAGGCAAGGGATCATCGCCTGCCACCTAACCCTGAAGGCATCAGGAGTTGGGGGCAGTGGGGGGGCTTGCTGGAAATGACAGTCTAAAAATAGCCCGCCGCGCACACCTGAGTCACCTCTGACTCAGACCACTCTGCTGCCACGGGGTGAGGGGCTTGGAAAAGTCGCCAGTTCCGCTCAAACCCCTTGGCCGCCCCACACCTGCATGGACAGAAGTGCTTCTATCTGGGGACGGGACTCTCTACCCTGACCTGCTAACCAGCTTCCGGCACAGCCAGCCCCTGCTGCGCATTGTCCCCACCCCACCCGATGGCCACTGTCCCGAGGGTGAGGCGCCCGTCCAGCCCGGTTCCCAGAGCCGTAACGGACGCTGCCCTCTTCCTGCCCGGAGTGGCAGCCGGGCCAGGCCCCGCGGCCAGGAGGCTTACTCAGCGGTGAAACAATTTCTCCTCTATATGGAAAGAACACACGTTTCCCGCGGGGGAGGGGTGGGCCGTGAGCGGCTGGCTGAGGCGGGGACCAAAAGGCAAACCCAGGGGGACGCTGGTCGGGACCACGGCTTTCGGACACTGAGCTGGTCCCTGGCCCGGGGCTGGATGTCTTTCTGTCTTCATCACCACTGAGCTGGTCCCTGGCCCGGGGCTGGATGTCTTTCTGTCTTCATCACCCTGTTCCATCCCCTTGAGTTCAGGGCCCACAACCTTGATGGCTTAAAATAACAGGAGTTTATATTTTCTCGCGGTTCCGGGGCCAGATGTCTGAAGGCACCGAGGGGAAAACTGTCCCCGCCTGTCCAGCTTCTGGTAGTTGGTGGCACTCTGTGGTGTTCCAGGCTTGTGCCAGGTTGACTCCAATCTCTGCCTCCGTCTCCAGGCGCCCTCCTCCTTCCTGTGTTGGTCTGTGATCTCCCTCAGCCTCCCTTTTGTAAGGACACTTGTCAGGGCCCCCAGGGGCCACCCAGACAATCCAGGGTTAGCTCCTTATCTCAGGAGCTGTAACTTCATCACACCTGCAAATCCCCCCCACCCCCTGGTGTAACGACATGGATATGTTTGGGGAGAGCCAGCCAAAGGGAGTGATTGAATTTATATATTTTTTTTATCCTCACCCGAGGACATTTTTCCATTTTTTGTTCAGGTAGAGTGGGAGGGAGAGAGAGGAACAGAGAGAGAGAGAGAGAAACATCGATGTGAAAGGAACACATCGAGTGGCTGCCACCCGCACAACCGACCAGGGCCGGGGACAAACTGCAACCGAGGTACATGCCCTTAGCGGGAACCGAACCCGGGTCTCTCTGGACCACAGGCCGACGCTCTAACCGCTGAGCCAAACCGGCCAGGGCGGGAGTGATTGAATTTAAGGGAATAGGGATTTGGGGGGCTATTGCCCAGGGGAAATTCAGAAAGGGACCAACAAGAGCAGAAAAGGGGATTGCTGAATAACAGTGAAACTGACCCGAATCAACCGGTATACATTTTTTTGGCAGGATTTTTCAACAAAGCTCATGGGCTCAATTTTGTGCCGTAAATCTTATTTTCTGTGATTCCCTTATCACTTTGATTAGCAAAAAAAAAAAAAAAAAAGGAAACATTTGCATAGATTGTATACATTTTAGGTGTGGAGGTGTGGCAGGGAATAAAAAGATACAGAGAAACATACTTTAGGTAAATTCGAGTAAAACCTGAGTTACAAATTTAAATTCCGACAAGCAGACTCTGAGCTGGCACGCATCATGACACAAAGAGAGAGTTTATGAATTGATAAAAGGAACAAAAAGAAGACATACTAACGCAAACATAGGTGCATCGAACTACATGGCCTTCAAATACATAAAGCCAGCATTCCACTAGAACTTTCTGCAACATAGAAAACGGTCTATATCTGCACTGTCCAATATAGTTGCCACCAATAATATGTGTCCATTGAGCATCTGAAGTGTGGCTAGTGCATCCGAGACACTGAATCTTTAATTCTATTTAATGTTTTAAAATATGCTTT